TTCTCATGTTTACCATATAAATTATAAAATAAATCAATTGGAATATAAATACTGTACTTACATTTCAGTGTATCATAAATAAAGCAGTATAAACAAGACATTGTCTGTATGAAATTTTAGTTTGTACTGATTTCACCTCTTGTAAACTATCCCTGGTTGAGAACCACTGACTTATATGTGAGAACCACTGACTTATAGTGTATGTGAAGCAAACTAATCCACGTATATTGTTATTTATGGTTGCCTGCTGTAATTATTTTGTAATCAAAGCCTTGTTTTGCATGATCTGACAGATGCACAAAGCAGAAAATAAATGGAGTACTTGTGGCACCTTAGAGACTAACCAATTTATTTGAGCATGAGCTTTCGTGAGCTACAGCTCACTTCATCAGATGCATCTGATGAAGTGAGCTGTAGCTCACGAAAGCTCATGCTCAAATAAATTGGTTAGTCTCTAAGGTGCCACAAGTACTCCTTTTCTTTTTGCGAATACAGACTAACACGGCTGTTACTCTGAAACCAGAAAATAAATATTTTCATTCTCATAACCTGGATGCCCTAGGGATTAACAGTGTATATCTAGATGGCATGTTGTGTGTCCTATCAAATCAAGACATAGTTATTAGATTTCATTGTAGGGAGGTGCAGGCAACTAATGTCAGGCGAGGGAAGAGTCATTTTATTTGATACATCAAGCAACTCTTTGTTCTTATATTGGTAAATTCTGGCCACCCTAGCTGCTCTAAACTCCATATGCAAGACCATACACTAACAGACAAGTACCCTAATCTGTCTTTGTATCTGAAAATAAAGACAAAGATTCAACTTTAAAAACATATTTTCAAATTAGGTTATAAACCATGAAGGGCAGGGACCTTGTTTTCCTCTCTATGTACAGTGCCTACCACAGTGGACCCCCCCACTCCTGATTGGGCCTTTGACAGCTTAGTTCAAATAGCAAATAACAATAGATAAGACTACAATCCTATTTTGAATAAACATTTTATCATTTTTTCTGGCAGACAAGCACATGCAGCATAAATTACTTCCAGTCCTTCCTCTTCTCTTTCTTGAGCTAAAAAAGGACAATAGAGAATTGTATGCTGCAGGTGCAACAGTAAAATAGAAGCTTGCTCTTTTATAACATTTTTGATCAGTATCTCTCAAAGCTCTTTGCAAAGGAGGTTGCCACCATTACCCCCATTTTACCGACAGAGAAACTGAGGCAGAGAAAGGCAGTGACTTGTCCTACCAACCTGCAGTGGTAGTGGTAGGCGGGAATGGAACCCAGGACCTGTGTTTGCTCTCCACTAGGTGTATGGTACTTTCATGCTTCATGTGATGCAGCATTTCTCTTGTGTAATTGTAACAAATATGTATCTAGAGAGAACCTGGAGATCTTTTGCTCTAAAACAGCTCCAATAACATGAGACAAGTAAAATATCTATGGACTATATACTAGCACTGAGTCTCATTTCCCTACATAGGTCAGCTGATATGGTCATATGTTTGTAAGGAGATCTAAATTTCTACGATTCTATGAAATGTCAGAACTGGAAGGGACATCAATAAGTCATCTAGTCCAGTCCCCTGCACTGAAGCAGGACTAAGTGTTACCTAGAACATCCCAGACAGGTATTTGTCTAACTTGTCCTTAAAAACCTCCAATGACAGAGATTCCACAGCCTCCCTAGGTAATTTGTTCCAGTTCTAAACTACCCTTATAGTCACAAAGTTTTTCCTAATGTCGAACCCAGGGGTCGGCAACCTTTCAAAGATGAAGAGCCATTTTTTTTGTTTTTGTCTTTGACCAAAATATTTCAAGAGCCGCATCACACACAAAGTGTTGGGGTGCAGGAGGGGCTGAGGGGTGTGGGCAGGAGTTTGGGTGCAGGAGGGAGCTCCAGGCTGGTGCAGAGCGTTGGGGTGCAAGGAGAGGGTGCAGGGTCTGTAAGGGAGTTTGGGTGCAGGAGGGGGTTCTGACCTGGCTCCTGCATGCCGTGGCCCCATGCCGCTCCTGAATGCTGCCTGCTGCTGGCACATCTCTGCACGCCCCTTGGAGGGAGGAGGGCAGCGGGTCTCCGTGTGCTGCCCACAAGCATTGCCCCCACAGCTCCCATTGGCCAGTTCCCAGAATTGAACACAATACTCTAGCTAAGGCCTTATCAGTGCAGAGGAGAGTGAAAGAATTACTTCTCATGCCTTGCTTACAATACTCTTGCTAATACATCCCAGAATGATGGTCACTTTTGGCAACAATATTATATTGTTGACTCATATTTACTTTGTGATACATTATAGCCCCCAGATCCTTATCTGAAGTACTCCTTCCTTGGCAGTCATTTCCCATTTTGAATTTGTGCAATTGATTTCTCCTTCCTAAGTGTAGTACTTTGCAATGTTGTTATTGAATTTCATCCTATTTATTTCAGACCATTTCTCCAGTTTGTGAAGATCATTGTGCATTCTAATCCTGCATGGTGTTTTCTCCAATCCACAGGGCTTGCAGTATTGTTCACAAACTTGATATTGTTCAAAAACTTGTTAAGTGTACTTTCTATGCCATTATCAATTAAGATATTATATAGAATCAGATACAGGATAGATCCCTGCTCTCTTGAGTATTCTTTTCCAACCAGTTGTGCACTCACCTTATAGTAGTTTTGTCTAGGCTCTATTTCTCTAGTTTATTTATGAGAAGATCACGTGAGACAGCATAAAAAGCCTCACTGAAGTCAAGATATATCACATCTACTGCTTCTCCCCATCCACAAGGCTTGTTACCTGTCACAGAAGGACATTAGATTTGTTTGACATGATTTGTCCTTGACAAATCCATATTGACCGTTACTTATCTTATTTTCCTCTAGGTGCTTACAAATTGACTGTTGATTATTTGCTCCATTATCTTTCTGGGTACTGACGGTAAGCTGACAGGTCTATAACTTCCTGGGTTGTCCTTATTCCCCTTTTTGTAGGTAGGTACTATATTTGTCCTTTCCCAGTCCTCTGGGATCTCTCCCATCCTCCACGAGTTCTCAAAGATAATCACTTATGGATCAGAGATCTCTTCAGACAGTTCTTTAAGCATTCTAGGATGTATATCATGAGGCCCTGCCGACCTTAGGACATCTAACTCATCTAATTAATTCTTAATTTGTTCTTTTGCTATTTTACCCTCAGATTCTACCCCATTTACATTGATGTTCACTATGTTAGTTGTCCAATCACTGCTAACTTTTCTGGAGAAAACTGAAACAAAAAAGGTGTTTAACATTTTGGCCATTGCTGCATTTTCTGTTATTGTCTTTCCCTCCTCGTTGAGTAATCAGCCTACCTTGTTCTTCCTCTTGCTTCCAATGTATTCGTAAAATGTTTTCTTGTTACCCTTTAAGTCCCTAGCTAGTTTAGTCTCCAGTTTTTGCCTTGGCCTTTCTAATTTTGTCCCTAAAGGCTTGTGGGTTTTTTAAAAATATATATTCATCCATTGTAATTCAACTTCATTTCCACTTTTTGTATGACACTTCCCTGAGTTTCAGGTCTCTGAAGATTTTCACTTCCTATCTTTTACCCAGAAGAAGGGAGTAGTGCAAAGAGAGGGCATGTAATGTATTCTTTATGCACCCAAACCTACCCCTAGTGGAATGGGAACACAAGGAATGCAGGAATCTATTACTTATATAGTATCTTTAGAAGAATTGCCAATCCCATAAATTCAAAAATCTTGAGTCAGATGCCCAAAAATCATGAGATTGGGCCAAAAATGGCAAACAATTTTTAAAATATTCTATTGTTTATTGTCCTGTTTTTCTGTTTTTTGAACTTCCTCTGCACCCCTTCCCTCTCCCCTGCTCACGAGTTTTACAGTGTCACCAAGTCTCCCAAACTTTATAGAGTAAGGTGATTTTTGGCCCCTGCTGCAGGAGCTCTTACTAGAGGACGCAGTTGAGATCAAATGACAAAGATTTGTGTGAAAATGCCATCTGATGGTGCAGAACTTCCAGCTTCTCCTCAAATGTTTACTAATTCTGTGTTCCACTGCCTAGCCCAGCAATTAATTCTGCCCCACCATTCATCTGCACCTTGCCCCTCAACACATCTCTACTCCTTCTGCAATTGTGAGGGCTTTTCACCCCTGCTTCCAGGATTGGGCTGGCAGCTGCAGCAGGGGCCTTTTCTCTCCCAGACTTGATGTTGCACTGGTGGAAAGGAAAAACAGACTGACCTATTTTTTGGAGGGGTAACAAAAACAAAAAAAAAAAAGAGAACTACCTTGAACTGATGGACATTTTCTGCTGCCTCCTCCCTGGCTGTGAAAATGTTATGGGCTGCTCCCTCTCCCGCACGCAACATCTCTTCTCTGGAGGGAATACTAGCTTCCCCTGCAGCAGTTCTGATTGGGAGGCAGTGGTGCTTAGTGGATAGGGCACTAGACTTGGATTCAGGAGCCTTACGGCCAAGTCCAGGCTTTGCCATGCACCTGCTAGGTAACCTCAGGCAAGCCATTTCACTGTCCAGTGCCTGGGTTTCCCCACGTATCAAATGGGGGGAAATGATACTTACCCTCCTGTGTAAAGAGCTTCGAGCGCTTTCTGATGAATATGCAAGAGCTAGGTACTATTACGATTGGCTGCTCCTCCCCAGGAGACAGGTACGTAGGGAAGGCAGCCAACCAGAGGAGATATTCCCCCGGGCCAGTGCTGCAAATCAAGCTTCTGGAGTTACTTGCTGGTCTGGCTCCAGCGACTAGTCTGGCTCCAGTTGCATTAGGGGCGATTACACCTGACACGTGCTGACGCTGCTCTGGTGCTTTTAACATGCAAATGAGCCGCCCCCATCTCCAAAAGGGGCGGTGCCAGCGACGCGGAGCAAAAGTGTTGTAACCGCAGCCGAGCACGAGGCCGGGGGCGGGGAACACAGCTATCCCAGGGAACACGGCTCCCGGCATACCGCGCGCGCTGTTTCTCCCCGCCGGGAGCAGGGCATGCTGGGACTTGTAGTCGCTGGCGTGTCCAGCGCGGCTGACGGCGTCCCGTGACCGGCGGCCGGAAATGGAGGCCAGGAGGTTCCGGACTCTGGAGCGCGCTAACGGGTCCTGCTTCTCCTCCTGAGCCGTACGGCGGCCGCGAGGGGCCAGCCGGCGCGCGGTGGCGGGGTGAGCGGCTCCCTTTTCCCGTCCGCCCGCTGGGGCGGAGGGAGCGTCCGGGTCCTGCCCGCAGGCTGGAGGGGGGCGAGCGTGGCTCCTGCGGGCCCCCATGGGGTCGGGGCAGCGGGAGGGGGCGGAGCGAGCGCCCCTCGGGGGACCGGGAGAGCCAGCGCTGGGGGAGCCTGACTGTCCCTGGCGGTGTCACCGGGAGGCTGGCTGGGCGCCCCGGGGTGCATGGCTCGGTGCCTTGGGGAGGGTGGCTTTGGTTCCCCCAGTGAGGTGGGCGAGGGATGTTTAGTGAGAGGCCTGTGTCTTCCTGTCTGCTTCAGTTTGGGCGCCTGGGGAGCAGGTTAAGATCTTAACAGGCTTTTCCATCCCGGGAGACAACCCTCCCCAAGGGAAGGGGCGCAAAGAGACTGCCCTGGGTGAGGCCGTGCTTGGTGGTGGTGTCATTATGCCAGCAGGAGGGCGCGGCATAGAGCGGCTACATGGGAAACCTGTCAGCGGCGCCGCTGTGCTGCTGTAAGGTCTGTAGTTTAGACGGAGCCTTGGTGCAGTACGTCCATTCTACAAGGGCTCCAAACTTTGGTGTTCTTTAAACCATTCTGTATAGTTGATGGCTTAGGCCTCACCAGAGAGAGCTGCTCACTTGCTGTTGATGAGTGAGCAAGCAAAGTTTTCAATACCTGCAAGAACAACGAGGAGTCCGATGGCACCTTAAAGACTAACAGATTTATTTGGGCATAAGCTTTTGTGGGTAAAAAAACACTTCTTCAGTTATGCCCAAAGAAACCTTAGTCTTTTAGGGGCTACCGGGAGACTTGTTGTTTTTATGGATACAGACTAACACGGCTACCCCCTAATACTTAATACCTTCAAGGGTTTTAAAAAAATTAACAGTATGCGTACGTTGATATTTCATTATTGTACTATTCATCCATCTCCTCCCCTTCTCCACTCTTTATCGTTCAAAGCAAGCACCTGTAAACTTTGTTCATAAAGTGCACGTGTATCTATGATGCCTTCTAAGTACCTAGCCAGTTATAGTTTGTAGTACAAAATAAAGTTGTGAATAGCTCTTTATGCTTAAGAGCATAAAAAATGCAGCGTGACACCCTTCATGCTTTCAACAGTCTGATACTAACATTCAAAAGCCTTCAGAGCAAACAAATCCCAGAAGAATCAGTATCTTTCTTCTCTCCAAGAAGTTACTAACAAGGGTAGTTTGCAGAACTGGCACTAATTTCTGCCAATTTAAGTACCAAAGAATAATCTGAAACAGTTCCTAAAGGTCTGCTTGTCAAAAGCTTTTATTCAGCATTAAATCCTGAATGGGTAAAATGTTCTATCTTTGTCTGAGAAAAAAACTTGTTCTCTTCACCTGCCCTTCAAGGATACTGTTTTGAAATACCCTTTACATTTATCAGAGTGTAATTTATTGACTGTCTGAATGTGTGTTTTTTGTTAGAAAAGTGACTATAAAAATGATATTTTGGCATTCCATATTTAGTCTCTGTCAGTGACTTCCATATGAATTTTGAACACTGTCATTACTGCAAGTGCAATCTCTTCTGAAAAACAAACTGGGTTCTTTTTTCTTCTCACATCACCAATAATAAAGATTCTGGAATCCAGAATTTCTCTAGCGATCTTACTGGGGATGCATAAAGCAGAGTAGATTAGAGCTTGCTCTTCTGTCGCTAAATTAGTTAGTTAATAAATTAGGCTGTTAGTAAAAAGTCAGCAAAAACTTTCCACAGTACGTAGGAGCCTGATAACACTCAGAGAATTTTGTGTGTATGGTGTCTTCTGGCACTTTGTACTGTAGGATTATATTAATGTTTCTTATTAGACAACTTCTCAAAATTATAATAAACCTTTCGTAGAGAACAGAAGCTCTAGGTTTTAGAGGGGGCTTGCAGCAAGCAGTGTCTGTTGGGCCTGATTCTCTTCTCATACTGATCTTTTATTGCTATAACTCCACTGATTTCAGTAGAGTTACTCCTGATTCCTATCAGCATGAGAATTGAATAGCCCAGTGTGTTTTCTCCCTAAATGAAACATTTGACTCTTTGAACTTGGTATTCTTTTCAATACTATACTAAAGACGGGAGGATTTCTAGGAAAGAAATGTATGAGGGTAAAAAGAAAAGTGTACCAGTGTGGCTAGCATCTTTTAGGGGAAAACAAGATTTATGTTTCTCTCCAGAATACTAGAGTTTCTTTCATTCCCGAGGTTAAGCAGAGAGAGCTTTTATAACTATAGAGGCCATTGGTTGCCATGAATGACCATCCTTGATTGATCCTATGAGAGCAATAACAGAATCACGAAGAAGCTAATCTCTAGCTCCCTCAGATAATCACGACTATTATCCTTGTTACTTGTCCACACAAAGTCTCTTCTTTTCTTTCCTTCTTAATTTTCCTCCAAAACACACACACACACACACACAATCTAAAGGACCTGGTTAATAAAGGAAAGGATGTTGAGTTGTCACTCTTTATGAAGCTTTGTTTGCTGTGTTTCTGTTAGTAAAAGAGTCGTTAATTTATTTTATTTCTTGGTTTATGCGACTGAACAAAATGAAAACTAATACCAGAATTGTTCCTTTCTGTGGGGAAGAAAAAAACTTAGAAGGGGATGTTTGACAAGTTTCCACCCAAATCATTCCATGGATGGGGACGAAGAGAATAACATGTCAGTGTTTACACTCTTGTGCCATAGGCTGCATTTTCACTCCCAACTGTACAGAGCTCTGGAGACACAATGCCTTGTAACTTCTCACTGGTTCTGGGGAACTTGACATCTCTTCTCCATCCTTATCACTGACATAACTCCATCAGAGTTATGCTGCCAGGACTTTCCTTGGTGCTGGCTGCCCAGAGTTAAACGTGTCTTCCCCAAGGTGGAGGGAGTAAGGTAATACAACCTCGTCCCATGCATTTCTGTTCCGATCCTGCCCCCAATGGAGAGCCTCTCATGTGAAGGGGAGTTTTGGCTTTCGATTTCCAAAGTTTTAAAGGAAAGAAAGTGGAATTAATGTCCGTGATGGAGTTGCCCACGTCTCAAGCCATTTAATTATAATAGTAAGCCCTCTTGTTTGATAAAACACTGAGTGAATTATTCTACTTGGCTACAAAGAGGGCAATGACTATAATGATCTACCTATAATGCCAAGATCCATTTTCGAGGCTAGAAAAGTTTGGTCTTGTAGCAGGGACTCTTAATTCATTCAGCCTTTTGTTAAAACTTTTGGTCTACTTAACATGGGCAAGAAAATGCTCCTCAACCAAGTATTTTAAAGTAAATGTATTTCTGGTGAAAGGTGCCAACTTGACAACTGTAGAAACTGAAGTCCTCTGTTTATTGGTAAAGCATGTGCAATTTGGGCAGTTGTATTGTTCAATAGCAACCTTTCTTGTTAAGTGGCACTGATGGACAGACTACCAAGGGAGTTCTGTTCAGTTCTCTCAGACTTCTTCGGAGAAGAAAAAAACTAGGTGAGGGTAGTATGCCGCTTTTATGTATTATAAAGAAATGGGGCATTTGAAAGGCGAATCAGTTTGTGCTGCAGCTTCTAACATGTTAGTAAGTATGCACTGCATTTCTCATTGTTTGATTATTCCAGGAATCAGTTTCCCTTTCTTGACAACTTGTAAGTAGCTTTTTAAAACATTAAGTGAATTAGTTTGCAAGGTAATCGCTGCTCCTACTATTTTATGTATTCGGTCTAGTTATGTTGCTAAAATGATCACCTTCTAGCAACATAACTAGACCGAATACATAAAATATATGTACGAAAACCCTTTTTGTCTTTTGTACAAAACAAGATAAAAGTAGAAGGGAAACTGCAATTAGCCTGTACATGTGATTAGAGGTGATGTAAAGTACACTATAAAAGATCTCTAGAAAATATTGATAAAATAAATACTGTTGCAAAATAAATTTAATTTTACAATCTTCTATAACAAATTGTTTCTGTACAAAATAGTCTCAGTTCTGTTACACATAAAACCTGTTTTCAGTAATTATTTTCTTCCTTTTCCTCCACAAGCTCAACATCTTCCTCTTTGTCTTCCGTCCCACCTCTCTCCCCACTCCAGCACCACCTCCTCATCAATACACACACGCACTCTGCATTGGAAAGGTCTGGTTTATATCTGAAACCAACACTGCAGTGTCCTTTTTTTAAAAGTTATTTTTATATTATTTTTATGTGCTCAGAATCCTAGATGTGAGCAAAATAAACTTATAAAACTCTCTAATATAGGGATTCAAGCATTCCGCTCTAACTACAAATTGAAACTTGAGTGTGAGGTTACATACACTGGTGTGGTCTATGTGGTCTAGATCAGTTTCTGGAACAGAGAACCGATGGAGGACATATTTTATTTAGCTTTGTACAGTAGTTTTATTGTATATTTCGAATTAAATGCTTTTATTACACATTCATAGAACATGTGATTGTTTTTCAGTCCCTGGAAGTGGAGGATTCTGAAAGTTTATTATTATTTCTGGTCATATTAGGTTTAAGTACCTAAGCATGCTGGTGATACTATACAATGTATGCTCTATGCCCATAGTTATGTTTATTTTTTGTTTTTGTAGTGACAAATTCATGTCTTGCAAGACAGTGATGGCTTTTTCTCTAGAATTTGAATATGGAGGCCACAGGGACAGATGAAGTGGAAAAGCTAAAATCCAAGTTCATGTCTGCATGGCACAATATGAAATACAGTAAGTGAAACAGTGGATAAAATCCTGACTCTATTGAAGTCAATAGTTTTGCCATTGACTTCAGTGGGGAGCCAAGATTTCACACAGTAAGTATATTTGTATACATCTATTAATCAGAAATGTAACTTGGACTTTGAAACCAATTTGTTCTTCAACAATAAACTAAATAATCTGGGAAAACAAACTCATTTAGATATTCTCTTTCAATTTAAATATTTTAAGGATTTATTTTTTCAGTGACTGACTTAGGTCAGAAAAACAGATTGGCATTAAGCACAGATGACATGACAGTTTTGCGTAGGATCTTAAACAGAGAAGTTGTAAAATCGGGCTATAGGAATGTCTACACTTGTGAGTTAGAGTGCATTAAAGCAGTCCAGTGCTCCCTAACTCACAACGCATCCACGCTGGCAAGGCACGTAGAGCACCCTGACTCCGCGGCTGGAGCGCTCCTGGTAATCCATCTTCGTGATTGGCATAACGCTTGGTGCACCATGGCTGGAGCGCCGCAGTACCAGTGTGGATACCCTGGTCTGTTAATGCGCTCTGATCAGCCTCCAGAACTGTCCCACAGTGCCTGTTCTAGCCAGTCTGGTCGTCACTTTGAACTCTACTGCCCTGCCCTCAGATGATGAATCATCAGACCCGCCCTTTAAATTCTCTGGGAATTTTGAAAATACCCTTCCTGTTTGCTCAGCAAGGCATGGAGTGCTCTCAGTGCATCTTTCCAGGTGACCATGCCTCCACGCACCAGGCGATCTCTGGTATGGAGCAATGGCAAGGTGCTGGACCTCATCAGTGTTTGTGGGGAGGAAGCTGTCCAGTCCCATCTGCGCTCCAGCCGTAGGAATTACGATACCTTCAGACAGATATCAAGGGACATGATGGAAAGGGGCCATGACAGGGATGCACTGCAGTGCAGGGTTAAAATGAAGGAGCTGCAGGATGCCTACCACAAAGCCTGTGAGGCAAACCGCCGCTCCGGTTCTGCCCTCCGCAACCTGCCGTTTCTACAAAGAGCTGGACGCAATATTGGGGATGACCCCACCTCCACTCCAAGGACCACCATGGAGACTTCAGAGCCCAGCTCAACAAGGCAGGAAGAGGAGGAAGAAAGCGGGAGTGAGGGTGCTGAAGAGGAGGAAGACACCCTGGCAGCTCTAGATGCATGCAGCCAGGAGCTGTTCTCAAGCCAGGAGGAAGGTAGCCAGTCACACCGGCCAGTGCTTTTGGAAGGACAAACACCAGAGGACATGCCCGGTAAGCGGCTTTTATTTTGGGAAGGAAGTTATTTGGTGCAGGCTCTTGGGACGAGGAGGATTAGGGCTGCATGCATGCCTAGATGTGGAATAGGGCATTGATGTGCTCTCTCACATCCTGGTAATTTGCCTCAGTGATCTTTTCAAAGGTCTCATCCAGAAGCCATGCAATGCGCTTGCACAGGTTCCTTGGGAGCGCTACTGTACTCCTTGTCCTAGTCAGGCTAACATGTCCGTGCCACTGTGCCGTGAGGCAAGCTGCATATGGGCCAGGGCAGAAGCTGCATTGTAGTAGAAGACCCTCCCTTGCTTTCCAGGTCACCCTGAGCAGCGAGATATCTTCCAGGATGAACTCCTGTGGAAAATGTGAGGACAGTATTCAGTATAGGGGCCCCCTGCAACTGTTGGCTCTCCCCAAGGCACAGAAACCGAGAGGACAGTACGGCAGTGAAACAATCAGTCCCCCTCGACCCCTGTGCTCACTCACCATTTTGGGGCTTCTGTGGGTTACGTGAGCTCGCTTTGGGCTGGGAAAATTCTGCTATTGTTTAGACTGTGCTTGTCTTTAAGTACGGGCAAATCATTGCTCTGTCTGGTGTGAACAATGCTGCCTCTGTTAAGTGTTGCATTTTGCCTTTACAGATGCAATCTTGAGATCTCACCTGTCCGTGTTATTACCGGCCAAAAGACTCCAAAGAATTAGGAAGAGGCCATGTAGAAGCAAAGAAGACATGCTGCATGAAGTAATGCAGCAGCCCCTTCATGAAAATCAAAAAGCGCAGGAGTGGAGGGAGAGTAAAAGGAGGTTCTGCCAGCAGAATGCAGAGCGCCGGCACCAAAGAACGGAGCAGCTGATAAGCATTATGGAGTGCCAAGCGGACTCAATCCAGGAGCTTGTAGCCATGCAGGCGGAGAACTACTGCCCCCCCCACTCCCCCAGCCCTTGTCCCAAAACTCTTTCCCTTGTGCCCCCATGTCACCTCCAACCCACTTTCCCCAACATCCGGGTTCTTATCGCCACCAGCTGCCTCCAACACCTGTAGCTTCACCACCCAACCCTGTAAACTACTACCATTACCCACTGCAGTCAGCCCCCATCACCATGCATTTTAGCCAGCCTGAAGTGCAGCACTCATTGCACAGCACTCCAGACAGGAAGGCTGAGTATGAGAACAGGACAAGCAAATCTGTGATTGAACTGTTCCCTACCCCGTCCCTTTGCCCTTTCTGTTTCCCAAGCAGTTGTTTCTTTTCAATAAATGAATCTTCTTTTAAATAAATATTCTTTATTATTGCACTAAGTAAAAGATACCTTAGCCCAGGAAAGCAACAGGCACTGCAAAGCAAGCACAGATTCCTACTAACATTGGAACCACTGCACTTCACTCCCGTGCAGGGCACCAAACATTACTGGTGGCTTTCAGTCTCAAATTGCTCCCTCAAGGCATCCCTAATCCTTGCAGCCCTGCTCTGGGCTCCTCTAATAGCCCTGCTCTCTTGCTGTTCAAATTCAGCCTCCAGATGTTGAACCTCTGAGTTCCATGCCTGAGTGAATCTTCCACCCTTTCCTCTGCAAATGTTACGGAGGGTGCAGCACGCGAATATAACCGCCGGTATGTTGTCATCAGCCAGGTCCAGCTTTCCATATAGAGAGCGCCAGCGGCCCTTTAAACGGCCAAAAGCACGCTCCACAGTCATTCTGCACCAACTCAGCCTGTTGTTGAACTGCTCCTTGCTGCTGTCAAGGCTCCCTGTGTAGGGTTTCATGAGCCATGGCATTAAAGGCTAAGCGGGGCCTCCAGGGATCACAGTGGGTATTTCAACTTCCCCTATGGTGATTTTCTGGTCTGGGAAAAAAGTCCCGGCTTGTAGCTTCCTGAACAGACCAGTGTTCTGAAAGATGCATGTGTCATGCACCTTTCTGGGCCAGCCTGCGTTAATGTCAATGAAATGTCCACAGTGATCCACAAGTGCCTGGAGAACTATAGAGAAATAGCCCTTCCGATTAATGTACTCGGAGGCTAGGTGGACTGGTGCCAGAATTGGAATATGAGTCCCATCTATCACCCCTCCGCAGTTAGGGAAACCCATTTGTGCAAAACCAGCCACAATGTCATGCAAGTTACCCAAAGCCACGGTTCTTCTGAACAGGATGCAATTAATGGCCCTGCAAACTTGCATCAACATGATTCCAACGGTCGACTTTCCCACTCCAAACTGGTTAGCGACTGATCGGTAGCTGTCTGGAGTTGCCAGCTTCCAGATTGCAATAGCCATCCGCTTCTCCACCAGCAGGGCAGCTCTCAATCTCATGTCCTTGCACTGCAGGGTGGGGGTGAGCTCATCACACAGTCCCATGAAAGTGGCTTTTCTCATCGGAAAGTTCTGCAACCCCTGCTCGTCATCCCAGACTTGCATGACGATGTGGTCCCACCACTCAGTGTTTGTTTTCCGAGCCCAAAAGAGGCATTCCACGGTGGTGAGCATATCCGTGAATGCCACAAGCAATCTCGTGTCATACGCGTCATGCGAGTCAACATCATCGTTAGACTCCTCGCTGTCAGTTTGTAGCTTAAGGAGTAACTCGACTGCCAAACATGACGTGCTGGCAAGACCCATCAGCATATTCCTCAGCACTTTGGGATCCATTCCCGCAGAACGAAAGGGAAGACAGAGCGCACAGAACAAAAAACGTTGAAAAATGGTGCTAAATGTGGATAGAAGCACAGGGATTGCTGGGATGCGAAGCGATGCATCATGGGGCGTTGGGACAGGACCCAGAATGCCCCGCACCTCCTGCCCCCTTCCCACAAGCTACAGCACTAGAATGGGAAGAGGTGCCCTGTGGGATAGCTGCCGATAATGCACCAGTCCCAATGCCGCTGCAAATGTGGCCACGCCGGTGCGCTTGCAGCTGACAGTGTGGACACGCTGCAGCGCTTTCCGTACTGTGCTCTCCGAGGGCTGGTTTAACTCTCAGCGCTCTACATCTGCAAATGTAGCCGTGCCCTGTGTGTAAGACTACAGCAGCACAGCTGCAGCGATGCTGCTGTAGTGCTTGTAGTGTAGATGCTTCTTACATCGATAGAAGGGGCTTTTCTGTCAGTGTAATTAACCCACCTGTCCAAGAGGTCAGAGCTAGGTTGACGGAAGAATGTATTTACACTGGGGGGGGGTGGGGGGGTTAGGTCTACATAGCCATGAGACTTAGGGCATGAAGTTTTTCACAGCCCTGAGTGACAGAGGTAGCTCTATCTAATTTTTAGTTGTAGACCAGGCCTCAGTATGAGCAGTTCTCATTGGTAGTGTATTTTGATAAAGTTAAGACTCTGGGTCAAATCCTGTCTCCATCAAAGTCAATGGGGTGTGGATTTCACCCTTTGTCTCTTCTCTCTCAAAACAGTTCAGAAGTAGGCAAATCTCAAAACTTGGTCACGAGGAATTAATTAGCTTTTATCTTCCCATTTCCCCTCAAGGCCTGAGGTCAAAATTTACATCTTAAGTCAGTGGAAGTTATTTTTGAGTGAAGACTGCAGGATTTGGGCCTAAATGGGGGGGGGAGGGGGAATTGGTGCAATGTTTGCTAATATTAAATATTCAAATCAGGACGTGCAGCGGTTAAGATTAAACATGGAACCTTAATTCTACCCCTTGTGGCTATATGTTACACTATTGTGTTTCTCAATGAAGTATGTAAGTGTTGAAGTTCTGACAGCAACATTAACTCACCCATTTTGTGCATATATATTTTTTTATTCCTGTTTTTCTCAAATATGCATCTTAATCTTGTGACTAAATGTATACAGTAAAACTTTGCAGGTTGTGCGTTGTGGCTTTTTAGTATTGCTGTTGGAAGCTTAACTTGAGTATTTTAATATAGTAATTAAAAGAATCACAAAATTAAACTGTATAGTAATGAGTTCATGCAAAAAGGCAGAGTTAACATAAGTTCAAACTTAACTTTTGCATTTCATGACTTCAGTGCTTACCTATGAAATTTTCAGGTTGCATAACATCTTATGTGGATGATATTGTTTTTACAAGGGCTACGTTACTTTAAGCTTGTTGACTATAAATCCATTCATGTGTCTTAACAGTAGAACCTGTTTGTATTATTCAATCTATAAAATAATTCCAATTCCAGTGTGGTGTTTCCATGTTCTACTAACTTGTGTGACTTTTTGTATAATGAAATGTTTTTGGAAGTGTTTTGAAATATTTCAGCGACAAACTTTTGTTTGCTTTGTATCTCTTTTAGGTTGGGTATTGAAAACAAAAACTTACTTTAGAAGAAATTCTGCTGTCTTCTTGCTGGGAAAATGTTACCATTTCAAGTCTGATGGTAAGTGTAAAGGATTTAATTGATCCCATTTTGGCACTGCTCTGTGAAGTCTTTGTAATAATCTACCAAAACCTTTATTAATAGAGAATTAAAGTTCACAATTTAAATATGGAAAAGCTAGAATATTCTCAGTTAAGTTTCCAAAACCAGTCTTAATACCTGCCCCATCCCACTGTTCACACATAGGCCAGAGAACCCAGCCATTGTCAAATCAGACTTCATCCTTTGCGTGCATACGTTTTATAACCTATGCTTGAGTTTACTCATCTGTAAAATGGGTACTGAGGCTTAATCAAAGGTACTGCATAAACTCAGCCTTGTTCAGGAGAATGAAATGGTAATACCAACATCAAAGTAACACCTTCCTTGATGATTTCCTAGTCCCTGTTAACTCTTTCCTGTGCAAATTTGCCCTCTTATGGGAGCCGTTTTCCCAGCATGCCTTTCTCGATTTGGCCACTTATATTTAGTAGGACCAAGCAGCTGCAGCCTTAAAATGGCCGTTTCAATTGACAGCTGCTACCTGAATCATTCTTTTTTTCAGCTGCTACATACCTTTTATGTTTCTCCTCAGGTTTCGCTACTTGTTGCGGAGGAGATACTGTAGTCTCCTAGGGAATTCCTATTTTTTAATAGTATAATTTTATTTTAATTAACAAAAGTCCTGTGTCAGTTAATTTCAAAGCTGTAACTTGTGTTATGTGTGTCTTGCAGAACCCAGTGAACTCTCTCCAGATGGATCCTGCTTCGATATAGTCGACAAAGTCATTTCTGGAAATGTAGAAGAGTTTCGTAAAGATTTTATTTCTAGAATATGGTTGACTTACAGAGAGGATTTTCCTCAGATAAAAGAATCTGCTTTGACAACAGACTGTGGTTGGGGTTGTACACTGAGAACTGGCCAGATGCTGCTGGCTCAAGGGCTTGTGCTTCATTTTCTTGGTAGAGGTAAGCATGAAGAGTAGATCATTTTTGGTTTTGTCAGGAGGTAGAACCAAGCATCAGGATGCAGGTGGCCCTTTGTTAATGATGAGGAACATGTATCAGCCTTTGCATATGCATCCAGTAAACTTAGCTAGCTAAAGTGCTTGCTTGCTTTTGGTTCTGGACTGCTTTTTAAGAATATAGGAATTGCTTTACTGAATTAGACTAATGGTCTGTCTAGTCCAGGAGCCAGTCTCTGATGATGGTGAATACTAGCTGCTTCAAAGGAAGCTTCAGGAAACCCTGTAGAAGTTAGTTTTGGCCACAGCGAAAATTTCTTCCTAACCCTTATTATCCAAAGGGTAGCTTATGGCTGAAGTATGAGAGTTTATGTCCATTTCAAAACTCCTAACTAAAAAATAAAACAAAACACGCACCTTTACTTCAGTAACTGCATCTTCTTGTTATCCATGTAAATGTTCAATCCTTTTTAGAAACCTAGTAGGTTCTTGACCTCAGTGATATCTTGCGGTAATGAGTTCCACTGCCGAATTGTGGGCTGTGTGCAGAAAGTATTTCCTTCATCAGATTTAAATTTGTCATCTTTCAATTTTCTTTAATTCTTGTATCATGAGAGAGCGTTAACAGAAGTTTCTAATCTATTATCTGCACGATTCACTATTTTTTTCCCTGGTGGGGTTTGGAAAAGTTACTTTTCTGCTTCCCTTTGTGTTTTCTTATCTTAACCTTGTTCTTTCAAGATGTACTGTCTTACAGCCGCAGTCCCCTTTGGGGAAAATTGACTGCTTTCTGGGGTTGAGCATATTACCTCTCATGCTCTCCCCAGTCTTTTCAAACCCAAGAGGTGATAGACTGGAAATACAAAGCTGTTTCCTGCATGGTAGTTTGTTTCAGTACCACTAGGTCTGCAAGCCAGCCACCGTCTCAGTATTTCATCCTCTTTCCTTCCATCCCTTCTATAATACATGTATCCGTTCCCTGTTGATCAGTTCCTGTGCTGGGTTGGCTGTCCCCCATTGTCAAAGACCTTTCAACTCTGTCAGTCCCAAACTATGGTTTATTGCAAGGGAGTGTGTTGTTTTGTTTACTCAGCGATTTGGTGGTCTATGAGGGTTGTATTTATAACTAACATAAAAAACATAGCATTCCGAAGGTCCAGCTCAGTAATATTTTGCAAATACTATGTAAGCCAAGAACCAAATCTTGCATGGTTCTTAAAGCCCTAAAACCACCACATCAGAAAATGCAATTTTGACTATTCTTTAGTGGTCCAGTAGCAAAATTGAACTGTGGAGTTGACATAGCTAGCATTCTTTTTGTTGTAAGCACTTTGTCTGCTTAAAATATTATTTTGTTCCATTTGCCCCAACCCCAACATCCAAACATATGAAATTATTGTGTTTGGAGATGGCTTATTCACTGATCCTACCCCAGTTTCCCCATAAATACAGCTTTTGTTGCACATAAATCTTTTATTTAAATTTTTTTTAAAACCCTGCACAATCTGGATAGGACACTAAACATGAATATGCCCGTGAGGCTGTAGGAGTAGCCCAGTTTAACATTATCAAAACAAAAGGGTCTTGACTAGTCTTAATCTAAAGTGTATTTTTTAAAAACTGTACTTAAAAATCATTCTTGTACTATCCACTATGTATCCTCACTTGTGAGTCATGTGCTGCACTACTTCGGAGCTCCCAACCTCCCACATTTCTGTGGGAGCCCATCTGTGTAGGGAAAGGAGACATGTCTGGTCTACATGAAAGTTTTCTGTCATCACCCTGCCCTTAAGGGATAGTAAATCTTCTTTAGAAAAGCTTTTGGAGAAAATTGGGGTAACTGAAATGTGTTGTGTTCACATCTTCATATGAAATATTTCATTGGTTGTGGATCCTTTTCTGGACATTTTTTTAATAGTATTTTCTTTTAACCAAAAAAAAAAACTTAAATGCCACTAATAGCTAAAATGCTTATCTTTCTACAGCTATGTGAAATGCTCCAAATATTGCAGTATGATCTTGTCAATAAGTTTCTATTTTTAATTTTTATGTTTTGGAAGGTTTTACATTTAATTTTTTGGTACATACACAAATATGGCAGCTTGAGATGTCGAGGTTCAGGAACAACTAAGTCCATTTCATCTTTGTTACATTTGCATCTTCCTTGATTTCTGAATCTTCCTCTGAAGGGCTTAATATGAGGCTAGAGTTTGGTAAGTCACTTCCTATGACTGAAATCTGTCTCTCTTCTACATATTAGAGCAGATGTTGTCAAACTGTGATCCATGGTACACTTGTTAGTGCCACAGAGCTGGCAGCTCACATGATTCTTGTGTCTTCTCATTTCCAGTTGGTTTTACAGGCCTCTTGGCTCTTTATTGGAAAGAAGAGACTGGAAGTCTGTAAAAGCATCTGCAAGCAAGGAGGAGGATCAGCTCTAATTGACTGCCTCTACCAGTAGCAACGCTACTACCTGCCTTATTCCAGCAACTGCCCTTTTAACAGGGTTTCCCTCATGATGCTTCGCATCTCTAGAATGCTCCTCTCCTAATTGTCACCTCCCAAAGAGCTGTACATCCACAGACCGGCTTTCTGAGCTAACAGTGACACCCAGACCTCGTACACACCTGTACCACCATTTATAGTCCCTCCAATGGCTTCCTCAATTTTCCGCTGCCCACAGTCTATCTGGTATTTGCATTAGACAAAGTGCAACAGAGGACAGTATATTCAGACACAGTACACATCCTGGTAGCTTTAGTTTTTAGCATTTTAAAGCTAAATAAAACTTGAGTTTAAAAAAAAATTGTGCAATCTGCCTGTATTTTATATGCAATTTACAAATGATCCATCAAATGTTCACTTTACATCTACCACCATAAGATAGTGAAAAGATACTACTTACAAATCTTAAAGTCAGGTGGCAATATTCTGATGTCAGCATTATCATTTCCATTTGTATCCCTTGCACAGTGCATTTCTGTTAATCAATAGCCTATGTACTTTGTGGCAAGTTGGAGCTAAATTCTGCCTCAGGACTTCTGGATTCCATGGCACTCTGATGGAAGTTCTGTAGCAATTTCAGATTAAACTAAAGATGAGATTTTTATTAATATGAATAATACAATTGGTACTTTTTTTTTATTTTGATACTAAATTCATTGTACATCATTCCATATCTTAAGTTTTGATGTGCAGTAGAATTTTGTATTGAAGATGCATCATAGTAGTTATTGGGAGAAGCTGGAGGAGGTTATAGCATCTGGCCAGTGTCAGTTTAGGCTTTGTTGGGACCAATTGGGAGGGACCCACAATACACTGGTAAGAGAAGTGTTAGTGAATTATTAGTGTTGTGTTGACATGCTGAACCAGTTTACACCAACTAGGCTAGTAATGTGGACACTGCGTGTAAGGCAAACTGTTACAGAAAAAGTAGTTCCAGAAACATGGACAGGAGATGCTTTGCTACAATAGCTAACCTTGAAACAGTTCTGTTCTCTAGTATAGACAGACGTTACAATTTACTTTGTTTGACAAATCTTATGTTCTGGAGTGTCACTCTGCTGACCTTTTTTTGACTGATGTGCATTTTGAACATTGTTTGGGAGAATGGTTCTTCTGTTCATATTATAAGAATTCTACATCCCTGTTTAAAAAAAAATTATAAGAATTCTTCTCCATAAACTTGTCTTAGGAATCAACAAACAAGAAAGAAAAAGAATCAGTCATCAAAGGCTTTGCCTTGAATAACTATCAGTTGAACCTTTTTACATGTATTAAATAGTTAACTTACTGTGTTGATGGTATGTAAATTCCCCTAATCTCTATCTTGTAATTATACCCTAACTGGCTAAGTCTGCAGAGTCTACTGTATCCTCTCTTGGAAAATCCTGCTAAAATTAAGGGCTAAGAAAGAAATGTAATGTGGCTAGTGTCTTCGTTGCTTCCTCCTTTCTCCCGCACAAGTAAAAATAGCACAACATATTATACTGAGTTAAAATTTTTTTTTGCCTATATTCTCAGCAGGAGCATTTGCATGTCTGTGTAAAGCATAGATTATTGGTTTTATTAAAAATTGGCACTTTTTTGGTAATTATACAAAAAAACTTACTGTTAAGAAGTGTAAAACATATCTTTAAGAAATATTCTGTTTCAGCCTGGACCTGGCCGGGTGCGCTGAACATTGAAAATTCAGACTCTGAATCATGGACAAGCCACACAGTAAAAAAGCTGACTGCATCATTTGAATCATCACTTACGGGGGAGAGAGAACCCAAGGTCCTCTCAAATGGTCATAAAGAAGCTCTAAAGAGAGACTGTGATGACAGTGAAATGAGAGATGAAGTTTATCATAGAAAAATAATCTCTTGGTTTGGAGATTCTCCACCTGCATCTTTTGGCTTGCATCAGTTAATAGAATATGGAAAGAAGTCTGGCAAAACAGCTGGAGACTGGTATGGGCCTGCTATAGTAGCACATATTTTAAGGTAAAAAATATCTTTAAATTGTCCTTCATTATTACAATGCCTTAAGTGTTATGGGAGAAACACTTAGAAGTGTCTTGAGATTTCTTCAGATTAATTGGACACCTAACCATTAATTATTGACTTAGCAACATGTCCATGTTACTAGCAATTTAGAAGAGCTTTTTTTTTTTTTTGCTATAGGAAGGGAAAAATAGCAGATTCAGGAACTGAAGTATGAGCTTCTGTCCAGTCTTGTCATTTATTTCTGAAACATTCCTATTTTCCTCCAGTCTGAGCAACAAGAGACCCAAGGTCTCTCCATACCTGATCTTTAAATAGGGCTGCCTTTAATGAAATGTTCTAAAAACTAACCACTCTTTCAACCTTGGAACATGCATAATATTATAGATTTTTTTTTTTATACTGTAACCTGGGGGCTGTAATGTACTGATAGTGTAATGAAATGTCAGAGCTAAAATTGATGTTTTCAGCATTTCTTTGCACACATCAAATTCTTGTGAAACTGTAAATGTATGGGACTATTAATATTATAATTATATTATAGTAAAAGTAAAGGATCTTTGACATTCAATATGAGTGTAAAAAAAAAAAAGGCCAATTTCTCTATACTCTGTGCCTTTATATGCCATTTCTTTGGATACTACTGATTTTGTTTTTTATAGTCTTATGTTCTAGGCGGGTCCCAGTTTAGCCATAAACGGAATCATTAATAAGTCACCTAAACATGAGAGGTCAAAGTTCAGATGTAATTTTTCTACATTTATGTAGATGCTGGAATAATATTCATATACAAATATACTCTCCTTGAATGAGCCTACATTGAAATACTACAGTGTTTGTGCTATGACAGGTGACGGTTATTTATGTATGTGCCTGTATTCGTAATATTTTCTTCACGTGGTAGATATCTGAAATTGACTTTTTTGTGAAATTTCAAAACAAATATTTTCTACTACTCCATTTTCTAATTTGCAAAGTATATTTGGCTTCAGGATCCACATGATCAAATCATGCATTCCCTTCAACATAATTCCTACCATTATTCAAACATTGCAAAGCTTTCCTTTCTTAGAACTCCCCTTCTCCCTTACTGCAGTACTGAGAATGTATAGCTCTCCCATAACTTGAGAATGTCTGTAATAAATGATTCTTCAGAATATATTGTGAAATAAAGGGATAGTGACCATTTAATACAATTACATATCAGAAGTCAAAGACTAATCTTTTATTTTGAGCAGTTTAATTTCTTTACAGATTTTGTCCTTCACTGGTGATCATGATTCAGACTATCGACATATATTTTCTTTTTAATCTTTAGGTTCATTACTCTTATTCTTCTGAGGCTAGTTTAGTATTGCCATTATCTTTTTAAAAGTTTCAGTGAAACCATGGAGCTGTTCAAATGTTAGTTTTTGTTCTAATAGATGTCTGAAGCTAATTCTATACGTCTGAAGCTAATTCTATACATCTTTAGCTTGTCTTCTTAGGTTAGTTGTGTGAGCTGAAAAACAGTTCATACTGAGCCGATACTACTTTGAAGGTTAGTTAAAGGAACCCTATCAACTTGAAAATCACATTTCTGTTGGCAAATTTAGTATTTCCTATAGTTACAAATAAGACAAAAGATTACTATAACCAAAGGTATGTCGGGTGGTGGTGGTGTTTGTGTTTAGTTAATTTTGTACATTTAATCAGATTCTGTGTATTGTCACTTTCACTACTTCTTCTTAATAGCCTGTCAGTTTCTGCTTTTGCTGGAAAGGCTTTGAAATATTCTACAGGGTTTGCTGAAAAAACCACACAATAAAATAAATAAACTTCAGTTTATTTTTATTTAAGGGATCCCCGTTTAAAAGGTGATCTATCAGAAACTGGAATATTTTGAAATCAGTTTCTTTTAAATTCAAGTTAATAGTATCTCTAAAAATCAAGAATCTAAATTCAGTTTACTGTTAATTTCTTGAAATGAAATACTCTAGCAAATCTTTTATTTGCACTTAGAAAAGCTGTTGAAGAAGCACGAGACCCTGAGTTACAAGGGATAACTATCTATGTTGCTCAGGACTGTACAGGTAAGTGATGTGGCTATTGCAGGTTTTAGCCAACTTTATAAGCGCTTCACTTATGCTTTTCAGTTAGTGCTCAACAATATTACGATTTCAAAAGAAAAAACTAAATGCTATCCATATGTTTTGAAAATCTAAAAATTGGAATCATGAGCTCAGAGTGGATATTGATTTCTGCACTATATCTTTGTCCTGATGAATCAAACATAATAAATGGAAAGGTTGGTAAATTGCTTGTTTGACATCTGATTAGGATAATGGCACTCAAAATAGTTAAATGGAAAAAAGCATCCGCAAATCTCCCTGGCATGTATAATTTCACTCCGATGACTTATTATTTGTTTCTAGGGAGTCTGTTGTTCTTTCTGCTAGATCTGCTCTTTAAAATAAATAAAAATGGTTTACATTTCCCTTCCCTGTCTTCCTTTTTCCTTTTGGTGAAGTGCAGAAAGTGGTAGAGATTTTTCTTAAAAACAAAAAACTGTCAGTAATTTAATTTATTATGCATTTTCTTAAATATTAAGCTGCATTCTCTTTGCAATGAAAAGTCCCATTTCTTGCAGGAATGTGTCCATGGGAAAGTTAATGCACCAGTTTCTAGTAGTAATAAATCTGATCAGTTCAAAGATGTGATCAGCCCAATAAACCAAGCACTATGGTTACCTATTTTCTACTCTAACACGATGTATAGGACATCTCACAAACACAAATGCTTTTAAATACTTGGCTGTTATCACAGGTAGGGTAGATTAGGGCTCTGGTGGATGTGCAGAAGTGGAGGGTGACAAGACAAACTAAATGTGTAATAAAACTTTACACTAATAACTATGACAATCTAAGCTTTCAAATGAAAGCATAATGTATTACTTCTATAGCTGTGTTCAGTTGCCTAAATTATTACTTTCTATGGTCTACTGTACCTGATCTTGGGAGATAATACAGGAATATCATTCCTTTCTGTGATCAAGCTAGTTTTAAAGGGACATACTCAACTTAATTGTATATTGTAAACAAATTTCTTTACCATGTTACAATTAACACCTATGGGCAAGGGTCGGCAACCTTCGGCACACAGCCCATCAGGGTAATCCCTGCAGCCTGCGCTGCTTCCCGCAGCTCCCATTGTCCGGGAATGGCGAACTGCGGCCACTGGGAGCTGCGGAGACCGTGCCTGCGGACAGTCAACAGAAACAAAATGTCTCGCTGCCTGCCAGTGGATTACCTTGATGGGCCGCGTGCCGAAGGTTGCCAACTCCTGCCTTAGGGTATTAAAAGTGAGAGAATTTTAAAAATCTAATGTAGTCTTAATTTAAATATTGGAAGTGGATTTTTTTGTCTTTATGCACTTTCTGAGTGGAGGAAGTAAAACAATGGTATTATATTTTTGTTTAACTCAGGATCTAATACTATATTGTTTGAACATTAATGTTTTTAAAAAGCTTTTCTTTGAGATATATATTTTTAAATACGAAAGTTAGTTCTAGGACCAAATTTTAAACTATCCATTTATTTTAAAACAAATAGAAGAAATGTTTTTCTGCTCTTCTCAATAACTACTTTCCTACACCCTACATGCCACTTATCCAAACTGTTGAACTCAACAATGTAACATATCTTTCTACATAATGCCACTCGAGGTGAGGAAAACGTGATTAGTTTCTATTAATACAGGTTTTTTCCGAAAGACCATTTAATGTGGAGAGTGTAATTTTTTCAGAAATGTACAGGTTTGATTTATCATGCTTAAATATAATTGTGTAGGCATATAAAATTTTGTAAAAGGTATTCAGTATATTTTTACTTCCAAAAAAATTACATGTGTACCTTACTGATGCTCAAGTATTTTCATTCTTATTTTCAGTTTACAGTTTGGATGTTGTTGATAGACAGTGCTCTTCTATGGGCTCTAAAAAAGCAGATATGAAAGCTGTAATTATATTAGTTCCTGTAAGACTTGGTGGAGAGAGAACCAACATGGACTACTTGGAGTTTGTAAAGGTATGAAATAAGAGTTCATTCTCTGTTTCAAACAGTAGCACTGGGTATGAAAAGATTCTTCATGGTGGTAATCTTCTAGCTATTAAATGCATGGTGATGATTTTACAGTTGTAAGTTGTAAAGTTTGACTTTACAGATTTTAAATGTCAATATTACAAGATCACACATAATTGCAGAGCACATGATGTCCTATGGCAGGGGTTGTCAACCTTTCAAAGAAGAGCCATTTTTTATTTTTGTCTTTTGACCAAAATATTTCGAGAGCCGCATCACACACAAAGTGTTGGGGTGCAGGAAGGGGTGTGGGCTGTGGGAGGGAGTTTGGGTGCAGGAGGGTGTTCCGGGCTGGTGCAGAGTGTTGGGGTGCAGGAGAGGGTGAGGGGTATGGGCTCTGGGAGGGAGTTTGTTGCAGGAGGAGGCTTTGGGCTAGGGCAGGGGGTTGGGGTGCAGGAGGGGGTGCAAGGTGCAGGGCTCTGGCTGGGAGGCACTTACCACAGGTGGCTCCCAGCCAGCAGCACAGCAGGGCTCAGACAGGCTGCCTGCCTGCCTTGGCCCCACGCTGCTCCCGGAAGTGTCTGGCTGCTGGCATGTCTCTGTGCGCCCCTTGCGGGGAGGGGGACAGCGGGTCTTTGTGTGCTGCCCATGCCCACAAGCACCATGCCCGCATCTGTGAGGACAGTGCTGGGGGCAGGGGCAGCGTGCGGAGCCCCTTCCCCTCTCCCCTCCACAGAGGCTCACAGGGACATGCGATCAGCCGGTCGCTTCCGGGAGTAGCCTGGGGCCATGGCATGCAGGCAGCCTGCCTGAGCCCTGCTGTGCCGGACAAAAAAAGTGTTCTATAACATAAGGTATTGAAGGGTCAGATTAAAGAGCCGCAGGTTGCCGACCCCTGGCCTATGGTAAAGCAGTGATAAATATTTCGTTGCTAAAGTAATTTCCTGAAAAGGCACTAATGCAGTGACTCAAATTACAAATATAAATACCATAGATATACTAAATTATTATTTGTGGTGTCTTAAATGAACTTTCATATTAACAAACACTCAAAAAATATAAACCAAGCTGCTTATTTTCTTGTCTGTTTTTTTATTCTTTAAATAGCGAATATTGAAGACTACCAGCTGCACTTTCACAGCTTATTCCTTCTACCTCTCTTTTTTCAGATTGAAGGGTTATAATCATTTGACCCAATTGACAGTTTTTGTGGCCATTATTTCATTAGCTGGAGGTTCGGATGACTCTGTATGTGGAAGAAGAGAGTGACGATTAAGAATGAAAAACCCACCAGTGTATCAAATTTCAGGACAGAACCGGGAAACAAACAGTTTAGTGTAGGGTTTTTTTGTCTATCTTCTCATCAACAAATATTCAGCTTTTTTAATTGAACACTTAAAAATGGTCTCTAAGAAACTAGACCATAATTCTCATGCCCCATGAGCACGTGTTGGTAGTTTGCTGGTTGAAGGGAAGAACTTGCGTAACTCTGTTCCTTCGTCTTTACTATCCTATTGTTAATCACACAGATTCATCCTTTTGAGTCCCATCTAAATTTGTATGATTGGACAGTTTAAGGAACTGCTCAGTGGCATTAAGATAATCTGAGTTGGGCACTTTTGTTACCATACCTATTTTTCCTTTCTCTTGATTATCTGTTCCATTTTATCACAAAGTTTCAGAGAGAACTATGAAAAACTTTTATAACCAAGGAGGAGAGAACTATGAAGTCTTTTATTTAAAGTATGAAGTAGCTGTTCTGTCTTGATTCCTTTTTTGTGTGTCTAGTTGTTTTAGAAGAGCTTTTGCTCTTTGCTGGTTAAGTCTGGCACAGTGAAACATGTCCCTGGTTGTAGATCTGATCTAAGAACCCTATTCCCATTACAATACTTCTGCAAAAGAGCTTTGGAATCTCTGAATGTGGAATCATAATACCTTTATTTGTAGGCTAACACACGCGCTGCTTTTGCCTCTATTTTCATAAGGGTTTCTGATCTTGTGTGGTCACTCTTCTTTAATGTGGGCTTTTGTATTGGTGTTGACCATTGTTTTACTGGAAAACGTGCTGTCATTTGCAGATATATCTCACGTGGGCTAGGATAAAAGGGGCTTCAGTTGCATGCATGCAGTCATCCTGTCTTTGTAATTCATTGAAAGTGACTTAGTATCTTTGGTGTGGATTTAGGTATATGAAAACACAAACTTCCGAACTGAATTAAGTAAATAAGTGTTTACAAAGGATTTGGCAATTTGTGGATGATGGTTGTTACTTGATTGATTTTATAATACCTTTATACAAGAAAAGTACCTGATTACCATAGGGAAATCAGACCTTTGCTTTACCTAAGTAGCTCCTGTTTCAATTTTGGTGCACTGGAATAGGTTGAGTGGACATGGACTTAAACTGTTTTCTCCTCTTTATCTTATATGCATAAGCATGTTTTGTAATGTTTATTACCCCTTGGTAATATTTGAAATAAGTGGTATTTCCTCCTTACCTATTTGAACCACTCAGAAGTTGGTTTCCATGTTTTAATATCTTGGGTTAGTAATGTGATAGCTCTGCAAAAGTAGAAATTTTGTTGTTTAATATTGTCTTTTAAGGCCAAATTTCTTGTTGAGAGAGAGTCTTCACAATGTAATTGATGATATGTAATGGTCTTACCTTTAGTGGCTACAGCCCTAGAAATTGGGGCATAAGAGCCACTGCCATTTTAGCTCAAATGGTAGCCTTTTGGAGGTGGAGACACTAATTCCTCATTTTGGCCAATAATGGACATCAGAGTCCTTACCAGACTCTCTTCTATTCCCTGGTGTCTGCTATTCTGAGGGGGGATGTTTCTCCCTCTATCTCTCTACACTTCTAGAGGTTCCTGCATGAGGGGTGACACGTGTACTTCTGCCAAACCCCCTGCTGTTTACCCTCTTCAGGTAAACATATGATGTTTCTCTTCAAAACAGCCACACATTAGATCAGTGGGATTTTGGTGATCAAGAGGCAGCACTGGTGCACCTTTCTTATCTTCTCTTGTCTTTTAGGGTAACTGCTCTTAGAAGCAGCTGCAGCCTCTTCCTGTGAAGTAGGGCTTTTACCTATGAACAGGATGGAGGGACTCAGTGAAGGGCCACTGAACATAACACTATAAAATATGTAAAACTTCATGCCAGGCAGCCTACAGTGACTCCAACTTTTGTTATGTTACATTTATTCTCTTCTAAACTGTCCTGCCTGTCTTTGAACTGTGAACACCTCAGAACAGATCGGGGTCATCCCTTCTTGAATGTCTCCCAGCCCGTGGTCAGTTATGCCAATCACAAGCATTCAAAAAATTTACTGAAAAATCATGGTGGTTGTTTTTTTTTTAATATCAGCCTTATTTATCTTTTGATCTTTGAGTGCTTAAGGCTTACATTTCCTAGATTTTTCTCCACAACCACAAGAGCTAGATACATGTTTTAAAATTGAGTACTGAGGTTCTAATATAATTGCATGACTCCAGGAGATGGGGCTTTCAGAAGAACACCAAATCATGAGACTTGCAATAAAACTGTAAAAGTTGGCAACACTGGGCACTTCCATAAGTCATTCACCCTGACCTCACTCTACATGTGATGGTCAGGAAAAATTAAATGAATAAAGTTACACCAAGTTACTTTAATTCATCACCTTCTTCTGTTAGCCTTTAAATCTGAATTATTTAATATTTTGTTGGCAGGGAATTTTGAGTCTTGAGTACTGTGTTGGTATTATTGGTGGGAAACCTAAGCAGTCATATTACTTTGCTGGATTTCAAGGTTAGTGTTTTAATAAGAGATGTCTCTTTAGTGTTTTTCCTTTTAAAAGCTAGAAAGTTAATATAGGATCAGTGGGAAGCAGAATGATTAAAATAGCAAAATGAGTACCTTATTAATTCATCATATCTGCCAAAGTCCAGGCATTTGTCATTTGCCCCACATAGTAATTGGATTTTGTAAAATGTACATTTAATTTCCTTTGTTTTATAAACAAGGCATAATTTATCCATTTCACCAAAACTTTAGAAGCCTTTGCTGCTACTGTCTGGCAGTTCTTATTTACATATTTACTTTTTACCAGTTTAAGTAGTGCTAGTTGATGCTCAAATGACAAGCAATATGTTCTTCCTGTCAGGATGAAGTAGCACAATACATTTTTCATATGCAAACTCTAGAATATAATTGTGTGTTTGTAAAAGTAATTTTATCACCAAAAATTAAATGACAGTCTCATCACTTTATAAAAATTCTGCTTATACAAGCATATTTGATTATGCAAAAGTTAATCTGTCCTGCAAAAACCGATGCTTCCGTCAATGAATATCAGTCTGGCAAGCAGTTACTTGCTGGCTTTTTTTTTTTCCAGCTGTTCTGCATAGAAATTGGATTGTAAGCAGTGTAATAATAAGGTGTTTTTTGAATTACTTGTCTTCTGTTTTGTCCTTGTAGATGACAGTTTGATTTACATGGATCCTCATTACTGCCAATCTTTTGTGGATGTCAGCATAAAGGATTTCCCTCTTGAGGTAGTGTGGGTAAAGAGCTGGTACTGTTTTTTTCCCATATGAATCAAACACTAATTATTTAGAGCTGTACTAGCTATCTGTATTTTTACAGTTTTAGTTCCATGTTATTTGTCAAATTTTTGCCCTTCTTTATAGACTTATAATCAACAAAAATGACTAAAGGTTAAATACTTGATAGTGGATTTTAATTTATTATGTACTTATTACTTCATTTATCTTTGTCTGTATCTTGTTATATACCAGAAACCCTCCACAAATAAATGATCATGCCACTAAGTAATTTTCCGTTATAGACAGGTAGGCAGTGCCAGCGAGCGTAAACATTACACATGGGTTCTCTTAAAATAATAATAATGAATGGGTGTCAGAAATATATGTTAGAGTGTAATAGGGTTCAGCTTTGTTTTGAACTTTCGGCTATACAAATTTACTCTCTGCTTCTTTGACCAGTAATTTTCAGTGTGTTGTCTAGGCAGACTTGGTGATTACCATTTCAGTACTGTTGTCTACTCGTAATTACTTTATAGGTCATTTATTTAGCTTCTTAGATCAGAATTTTCCATTGTTGTATTGCTTTTACTGATGTCTTCTATGCTGTTCCTCTCAACAGATTGTTTTATTATTATTTTTAATCAAGTTAGCTCCATGGATCAGTAGCTTTCAAGGACTTGTCAAGTCTGAAAGTGTAGTTACTGTTTCTTTTTTTAGCTATGGCATGCTGTCTCCTTCAGGTTATAGTTAATGCATCCTGTCAGGCTCTGTCTAGGTCTTGAAAAATCAGACTTTTACATTAGTATTTTCTCCCCTTCTCCTCCAACTCACATAAAAAAAAAAGGAGTAAATCCAGGGAAAGGTACTAAAGAACTGCATTTACAAGCAGCCCATAGACAAGCCAATATGTCCCCAGTACTCATGCTAAAAGAGGTATTCAGTACAGCAGTTTAAAACTTCTCCTTCTGGATCCTGTGATGTCCAGCCCTTACATGAACCTCTCTGAATGACACTTTATCAGCTACGGAACCCATCTGGGGCCTGCTCTTGTTGACTTCATTGCGCACCCAGGGTTCACAGCAGCTTGCAGGATCAGGCCACTAGAGCATAGAGCTGGTCTCTAGACTGTAGTTTTTAGCACTGGGGTTTTTCCAATTAAAAATTACAAAACCTAAAACACAATTTCACAAAACCACACCATATTTGGGGAGGGAGGAACATTTGCTTGCCCTCTATTAGTTGGTACCAGCAGGGTTCTATGGCTGTGATGTCACCAGTATAATGAATACGATGGTAACACTTAAAGTTTTGCTGCAAATACTTGCGCAGGGTTGGAGGTGGGGGAAGAAATACTCTTTTAAGCTTAAATGTTGTGAATGCATCCTTTAACCTGCTAATTGGGGAATTCAGCACATTCTTAAGCTGATGACATTTAGTTAAATGTAAAACATAAGTCAAATGGTTTGTAATGAAGTATACAACTATATTGTGGCCCCAAAGCTGTTGCTGCTGTATAACAGTTGGTTTAAAAACAGAGAGAAGAGCAGGAATTATTTGAATTTCCTTGTCTAACACTATTGTGAGTAAAGCGCAATTAACATACCAATTTCAAAGAGGTAACATGCTGAAGTCAATCGTAATATCTTAATCAAAATATTATCAAATAGGGTGTTCAGCAGAACTGTTTGGACCCCTTTTAAGCTTACATAAACACTAGTAAATTTTAAAACCTAGCACGGGGTTAAACCAATAATGAAACTAATTTTAATGTTTAATTTTAACAAGATGCTTTAATGAAGGTGTCATGTAGTCTGAGATTATAAAGTTCCCCCTGGAAAACTAGTGGTTCTGAATTTAAAAAGAAATATAGGTCGTTTTTATAGTCTCAAACAAAAAAAATGTTCTGTACTTCAAACTTTCTTCATTATATAGTGCCCTTCTGAGGTCCTCAGATGGAAGTTGGTAAATGACTAACTTTATTTGTATTAGGATAGTGCCTGTAGACCCTAACTAGCATCAGTGTCCCATCCTGCTAAGCACTGTGCAAGTGCATAATAAAATACAGTCCCTGCCTTGAAGATCCTACAGTCTAACTAGATAAGAGGTGGGAGTCATAGAGCAGCTCAGGGAGCCAGGAATAGAACCTACATCTGTGGGCTCCTAGTCCAGTGATTTGTGCACCAGAGTATGCTGCTGGGTGTCATTAATATGAATTTCCAAGTAATAATATACTTTAAATGTATTTTGAAGATGCAGAAGCAGCCAGCTTGGCTTGATCACTTCATATTGCTTTTCTGGATACAGGATTGTGTATCGGAAGGTCATGCTCAGTGCATTGAATAGTAATGTATGAGTTGTCCAGAAGTGTCAGAAAGTAAACAGAAATTGCTCTCTTAAGGTGGATAATAGCTTGTTAGCTTTCTCTATAGGAAATATTTTCAAAATTGACAAATTGTCCAGAATAAGTTGGAAATCAATCCAGTCTGTGCTGGCTTCTAGAATCCATTTGTTGGATGAGTGAAAAAAATATGCCTATCCACTTCTCTCTGTGGTAGTGACTTTCACAGCATTAATAAGACTTCTCCTAAACATACTACAAAACTAGTCTTAGGATGTTCCAATACCACCAATAACAATTAATGTTACTGTTCGAATGCTTTTCTTAAAGCAGACTCCCAGTATCTAACCTTGGTTAACTGTGAACTGCATAATATTTGGGCAGTATTAGGGAAAACACAATAAATAGGTGTCTCAGTCTTGCAGAAATATAACTTGCTAGTCTTTATTGATTTTGTAACAAAATTTAATGTAAAATGTAAACTGTTTTATTTGTAATTGGACCAGTCAGTAGTAAAGAGCAGTACATGCCAATAGTGTACAACTACCACAATGAGAGAAACCTTAAAATTTTATGTAGCAATCTGTACTCTTGCAGATCTGCTTTGTATCGAGTTCAAAAATGAAAAGTAGGAAGGTGTTAGGAAGAGGGATTCTACACCAATAGAGTGTTGGATATTAGCTTGCTTTTTGCTGTTTCTGTAGAGCCAGGTTAGAATTTAACAACTGTTATTTTGACACAAGGATAAGCTAACTGAGTTTGTGCCTGATGCATATCTACATATGTATTTCACATTACTTCCTTTCATAGCGGAAGTACTCAGAGAATAAAACTACTAGTCCAGTCTCAGTAGAACATGAAATGTGGAGCACTAAGATTTGTTAGATTTAAATACTAAGCTATTATAAGAGGATTAATAGTGATTTAATGGAGGGTCTGGGGTATGGATAGCTCTGAGTAGTAGTAGGATACAGAGCCTTACCCCTTTAGATCACTGACTGCAGCCTAGATCAGTAGTGACCAAATGGTTTAACCATCAGGTGGCTATACTGCGACATGTGAAATCAGTTAATGACTTTTGTCCAACTCAATAAACACGAAACTAACAACTGTTGCCCATGTTCAGTCTCCATGCCAATTTAATTACTACAGAACGTGAAGTGAACTACCCTATATGTGTTCTTTCTAGATCTGGGTGAAGTAGTGGGGGGAAGTTTGCACCGCTAGCGCTCGTAGTTTCCATTTCGAAGGCTGTCAATGTGTCATCTATCATAAGAACAAATTTCGCATTTAAAATAAAAATCCTTGTGTGTAAAATATGAAGTGGATTTTTGTGCTTGTGGTATATTGTAGTAGTCGGCCCTTTTTTTTTTTTTTTAACCCACTTCTCTTGCTAATGAAAATACATTCCATCATTTCTCTTTTAGGGAGGTGTGGGGAAAAGGGGGAAATGGGAAGTGGTGGTAGAGCAGTAATTGTAAGAGTGCAATTACTGCTACAAATGCACTTTGCAGAGCAGCATTCACCTTCTCTACCTTGGAAATGTTCATAAAATGCTCTCTAGAGCCTCCAACTTTTGACAGATTTCACATCCTTTTTTGGACTGGCATTAATGTGGCCTAATGTGGAAGTTTGGTAAATAGAATATAAACAGTACTAGCTTATATGGTCTTATGAATGTCCAGGGGTGAAATAACTTGAATGTTTTGGGGAACAGAAATAACTTTAAAGCTTGTACTGGTTTTGGAGCGTATGTGGCATGGTGAATTATATGTTAAAACCATTACTAGAAAGGCATGTGCATTGATATCTGTGCCTTCCTCATGTCTTTAAAAGATATTTTAAAATGTTTTTATCTCCATAATTGCAGTCATTTCACTGTCCTTCCCCCAAAAAGATGTCATTCAAAAACATGGATCCCAGCTGTACAATAGGATTTTATTGTAGAAACATGCAAGACTTTGAAAGAATTTCTGAAGAAATAACTAAGGTAAGTGTTGAAATTATGAAATTGATATCTGTCTGATACCCACTATCAAGAACTACAATAGTATGTACTGTATATACTAAGGATAGAAAATATAGTCTTATCTATACTAAATGGAACCCATCCTGTTCTAGAAATAGGGGTTATTGATGAAGTACAAACATACAAGAATTCTAGAATATTTTTACATCCCATAATATGAACATGTAAAGTCGAAAAGGAGAATAACTTCTGTAATTGTGTGTTAAGAGATGATTGCTAGGAGAAGATGAGTATAAGAGACGGACTGAAACAAACTAGTGTAGTATGTTATGTAGACTCAGTATAAGATTATTCCACTAGGTGGCACTATTGAAATGAAAATATTTTTGCAGACAGCACCTTTTACAGTCATTGGATTGTCTTCTACCTGAAGAGGAATTTTTAAAATGCAATCCATCCCTTGGAGATGAAATTTTTAAGAAATGGAAATGTTTGAGCAAAGCAAAACTGTGCATTATTTCTTGTTAATATAAGTGCTTTTTTGATTACATTTAAAGATAAAGCAATATTTTTATGACTTGGAAGCATTGTTTTAAATTAGCAAAGCAGGTATCATACAGTAAACCTGCCTAATCATGTCCATTCCACTTCAAGAACATAGGAATAGGTTTAATTAGGTAGGTTTGAATTTAATTGACAGATGTTTTCTGCTAGACTATTGCAGTGTATGATTGCCAATAATGTGATACAGTGCTAATGTGTGTTGTGTTAGCTATGGTACCAAACAACCAAATGTTTTATCATCAAAAATTGCCTATAAAAGGATTCAGCAATAACAAAAGATGCATCACAATATTAATACATTTGACATAATGGTTTTCACATCTCTGCAAGGAATTAAGGTTTGTACAACACTTAGAAAATATAACTTTCTGTGTAAGTGGTAAATATTTTTATTAGATAAGGTATGAACCAATAAGTAATATCCAGATTTTAAACTTAGTAACCACATATAGTGGTCAGTAGATTTTTGGTTAATGCTGAAGTTTTTTCTTTTGTATGATTCAGACATGGAGAACTAGAAAGTAGATTTAGAGGACAGGAACAATAGAGACATGGAATGAAAGTTTATAAAGAAAAGTTTCTTTATGTTTAGTTTATCTGCCCTGCTGTGTTTGAGAGGAGTTTTAAGAAAATGACAGAATAATGAATGAAAAATTGAGATATGTAAGAAACTTCTCTTATTTTTTTTCCATTGTCTTCCTCTTAAATCTCAGGCCAGGTGAGTTTCTCTCCCCATCCATTTGTTGAATGCTCTGAAACAGCATCTAGTTTAATGTCAAAGGAGCTGATTTTAGTCTTAAAACTATTTTACTAGCATTTTGGATTGGGGCTCTTTAATATTAATATGATGACAGCAATGTAAGTATACCCAAAAATAGATCATGTATTTTCCGAAAAAATAGGAAAGTTTTCATATGAATATTGTGTGAAGAACAGTCCTACTGTCATCCTCCAGTCTGCCCCATCAGTTTGTTCATTTTTCCTGCTCTGCCTCTGACTACTACTTTTCTGTTCATTTATTATCACTTTAAGAGTAACTTAATGCCTTGAATGGTAGCACAGTGTACTTCCAAGTGGGGATACCCAGGTTAGGTTAATGAAGGACTTCAGATTCTTGCTTCTGTAGCAAGTGAAGTAATAGGGTTCTGTAGACTCAGCCTCTGAGACTTGCTGCTACTGGTTTTAAAACACAGTGTAGATATATCCTTGAAATCACAAAAAATAAAGTTGTTAATCTTTGAAAGTAAATTACTGACAATGTACTTTAAATTTTTACAAAAATTTAAAGAAATGTAGCTAAATTCCTGTTTTGGAGAGAGAGAGAGTGGTTCTCGGGCTGCAGAGCTGTTTTTGTCATGCTTTTGCATCATCTCATAATTCATTCAAGCAATGATATTTCTGGTACAGGATAAAGCTTTCCCTGTGTGTACAAGTGTGTGTGTGTGTTTTGTAAGCCAACTAAATTGAAAAACAAGCAGCTCTTTGAACACTGTTCAGTTACTTTGTTCATGTTTTTTTAGAATGAATGTTTCTTTGATAAAAATGCAACAGTGATCAAATTTGTACTATAGGTTTCCCAAAAAAAGGAGGTTGTAGGAGTGATTGTAAAAAATATATATACATGTTTGAGAACCACAGGGATTTATTCATTTGGAAGTGTGTCCTCTCTGTCATCTATATCCATTGAACAGATACTATAGAAATAAATGCTTTAGAAACATTGCTTAGCAGTCAGTTAATGGGACTCAGCATGTCAAATTAATGAGATCTCTTCTGATAATTGTCTCCTGTTCACGTGAACATCTGGGCGGAAGTATCTTCTATAACAAATATTATGTACATACACACTTTTGCATTAACTTTTTTGAAAGCTAGAATACTGATTAAGAAAACCCACGTCCGGAATTTGCCCATTGACTTGGAAGGTAGTGGTAGTCCCTGAGGGATATGCAATTCGGAAATAATTGCTCATTTTAATCAAGTTCCATACTGCAGTTGTTTTATGATCAGCTTTCTGCTACCTTTTCTAGTTTACTTTCTCTTTCTCTCTAATCTTTTATAATTTCCCTTAGTATTTAGTACTCGGAGAGCTGTCAGAGTAATGGCTCTAGAGAATGAAGTCTTCTGTCATCTCCCATGCTGCCTCATTCATGTATCTCAGTCCTGACCTAGAGGGACCACCTTTAGGGGGTGAGACAATGGTTCAGTCTCGTTACTACTTTGGCTTCTCTGAAACTGTGGTGATGGTTTTTGTGTTGCAGACCACATGTCATTTAGGAGCTGGACTATGTGTACTAACCCATTTCACAGGCCACCAAGCAGCTGCCATGTGACTGTCAGTTGCTACTGACCCAGGGCTGGCTTCATCTAATGACCTAGTGATGAAAGGCTCTATATAAAATTACGCAGTCCCCTGAGATGTACAGTCTTTCTTCTTGTCTAAACTTTTTTCTTTCTTCCCCAGTACTCATTCTTTTCTTTTTTCCTTTTTCATTGCCTTCTGCTCATCGCAGTTGTCTGCATGTCTCTCACTTTCTCCTTGCCCTACTCTTTAGGTTTCACAGTACAATAATAGAATGAATTAAAATAATCTAGAATAAAGTGGAAAATTGCAGAGCACAGTAAAAATTGCAGAATCTGATTTTACTTGGAGCATAATTTTCCAGTGCCTTACTTTTTTTAAATAGCTCATACTGTTTAAATATCTATTTAAGATTTTTAGTGCTTCAGATTGTTTTTCATTAAGACAAATTATTTTTGGAGTTCATAGTTTGATCACTTCAATGCAGATTATATCTGTAGACTAATGTAGCTTTGCATATACTATAGCTGTGTATCGAGATTTACTTTCAAAGGTGATCAGCAATTTTTTTTAACTTCAGTGGGTGTTGAATCCCTTAAACAGTGGAAAGCACATTTAAGCCCTTTTGTATATGGGCCAATAGCACCTACTATTAAAACTTTTTATTTGTACCTGTGGCTGATCACCCTTAGTAAGAATAGCTTCCTTGATAGAGGCTCAGCTTCCTCGTCTCTGAGGAGACAGGTGGTATGTCTACACTGTATTGTAAATCCAGGTCTGTGGGACATGGGCTTGTGGACTCGGTATTTCCAAGCCCACGATTGAGTGTCCACATGGCATCATAAACCTGGGTTTACAATTGCTGGACCCTGGTCTCTGTCATACTAATGTATCCATCCTGCATTGCACAGACCTTCTGACTCCAGTCTGCAGCGTGAGCTGCATCCACACTGCAGAATGACAGAGCTTGGACCTGAGTCTGAGGAATTTGGACTCTGACACACCCTCCTGGCAGGGCCTTAGGACCTGGGACCTGAGTGTTTGCTGACCTGAGTCAGATTGATTTGTGTGGGAACTGACGAGGGGTTTGAGCTCAAACCTGAATCAGAACCCAAGCTTAGTGTGCAGTGTGGACATACCCAGGGAGGTTTCTGACATGTAATTAAAGCAGTCTGATAGCATTTTTAGTCCACTGTCAGATTTATCTGCTCTTGAGCTGGCTTATTTCCCTTAAATGTATATGTTTAAACTTAATAAAAGTATTGATGGCTATAGGTGCTCTGTCTCTGCCATAAAAATGCTTCCACAAATTCCAGAAGGTGCTAACCTGCCCACAAATCCTGCTTGCAATTCAAGAGATGACAGAAGATATGAAGATTGTTCTGCAACTTGTTCCACACGAATGGAAGCTAATGGAGTTCTGCATGTGTAGTGGTTCAGTTCGCGTGTGTGGAACAAGTTGAAGATTGGGGCCTGAAACTCCAAGTGTAGCTATTGTTTCATGAGGAGACTGAGTTAGAAACATATTTATTTATCAGAAGAAGTGGGCTATTGAGAGTCTGTGCAGTTTTATTCTAATGTGACAAATGAAAATAAAAACAAATATGCATGTTGTAAATTATGTGTGACTGTAATTAGATCAATACACCCAGGGACTTTATCCCTTCATTTTCAATTAACAGTTTATCTGGTATGTTATCTTGCATTATAGATGCTGAAATCTTCATCTAAGGAGAAATATCCCTTGTTTACTTTTGTAAAGGGTCATTCTAGAGACTATGACTTTGCCTCCAGTCCACTCCATGAAGAAAATGATCTTTTCTCCGAGGATGAAAAGAAAAGATTAAAAAGATTTAGTACAGAAGAGTTTGTCTTGCTTTAAGGACATTTTACAATAGGGTCCTGGCAGCTGTCTAGGAGAACACTTGCCCTTAAAAAAAAAAAAAATCACACAACACAAGACAAGCAATATTGAAATTGATCTATTTTCATAAAGATTATCATGTCGTATATGTTCGGTCTTTAAAATGTCACTTATAAATGTAATTAATTATTTTTGTTTGTTCATTGATAGTTGGATGAATATGATGACACTTTTTGCTAGTGAAGACAGATAGCATTATTTAGAGCCAGACACAATGTAGTGTGGTTGGGTACCATGCATACCCTCCTGGATAGCTCTGCCAATGAGCCTCAGTCTTGACCTGCAGTCCGCACTGCTGTTCCAGTCCTGAACAGTCTGCCAATTATGTGGTGGTTTTGTGGTGTGGACATGTCATCTAGTTTTGAGACTACTGGATAGTTTCCAGTTGTAAGCAAAACCTGAATCTAGGGCTCCTGAAGAAAAAGCCTTGTTCATTTAATCTATTTTGCTGCCTACGCCCCTATAATGGTTAATAATGTAACCATGAGATACCTTTCTAGCATTGCACTACTCAAGATGTAACTTTGATATATCAATAGTAATTGTTAGCTACAATCCAGATGCAATTATATAAGCAGAATTGTGAGTTAAGGTACTATTTAGCAATATAATTTTATAATGGCTACTCATTAAACTTCTTGTTGAACCTTAAAATCAGGAATGAATATGAAGTATTGGCTTTTCCCTACCATTTTTAAAGGTTATGTTATTAATATTAACTGCAACCAATCAAAGCAGATAGACCGTTATTAAATGGGAGCAGTGTTTGTTTCCTGTCTCTACAATGTAATTTTGAGAGTTCTATTCCTACCCATGCAGCTTCTAAATCAGAGCATAAAACAGCAAATTGGGGGTAGACAGTAAATATTCTGGGATATGATCTTCTGGTATGTGCCATTACTGTACACTCTTTGTAGTGATTTTAGATGTACAGAACATCTAGCAAATAAATCTACATGAACAGTTTCATGCTTTAACAGAGCAAATTCAGAATTTAAAATACACATTTAACACTGCCTACAAATTTAAAAATAACTTTATTAAAGTGTGAGATTAAATGCATGTACTTTTGAACAGTAATGGTAAATTTCTCTTGTTTGAATTCTGGATCTAAAAAAATATTGAGGTGCAAATACTCTGTAATAAGGTAAATTTTATTGTATTGTAAATGAGCTATTAACTTATTCTAAAGTGCCATTTAGGCACAGAATGCACAAATGTTGTCTACCCAAACAATAAATATTCTATGTATCACTAAAGTAATTTTTTTCCTTTTATGAGAACAGCGAGTAGTTACTAGTAGGCAGATTTTAGGCAGATCTGGGACAAACGCATGTTCGTACCAGAGTTGAGTTGTTCATTTTCACATTTGTTCATTGAGTTACCACTCCAAAAAAGGGGGATTGTTTTTCAGTTTCATTGGTTTTCATTTAAAAAAATTCTCCAGTTGATTGGATATGGTAATCTGCTCCTTATTAAATAATATTTTTAATCAGTATAATATTACTTTTAGGTCCTGCATATACATAAGGAATCAGTTAGGGCTGATCTTGTTTGATATTTTTTCCTTAATAATCCGGAAGTAGTAGTAAAATTAACGTGTTAATGAAACACAGATGCTAATTTGGGAAGAATTGTGAATACTGTGAGGACTAGATGTGTGGGGGGGTGGAGGGTGAGAAAACCTGGATTTGTGCTGGAAATGGCCCACCTGTTGATCACTTTAGATAAGCTATTACCAGCAGGACAGTGGGGTGGGAGGAGGTATTTGTTTCATATTCTCTGTGTGTATATAAAATCTGCTGCAGTTTCCACGGTATACATCTGATGAAGTGAGCTGTAGCTCACAAAAGCTCATGCTCAAATAAATTGGTTAGTCTCTAAGGTGCCACAAGTACTCCTTTTCTTTTTGCGAATACAGACTAACACGGCTGTTCCTCTGAAACCTATAAAGATATTGTAGATTTGAGTTTGGCTTGCATTTTTCTAATGCTACTTTTGCTGTGGAAAAATAATGCAAAAAATAAATATTAGGGAGTACGTCCGGAAAACAAAACTACTGAACAAGACCTATGTGGGATAGTGGACAACAAATTAGACATGATCTTGCACTTAAGAGAAAAAAAGGCCAATGCAATTTTGGGCTATGTATCTAGACACTCATGTCATAAAACCGGGAGGTAATAATTCTTTCTGATCTCACTGATAGTTTCGTTTCTGCTGCTGCCTCTTTACCAGGAAGGTATTAACAAATTAAAGTTCATAGAAGAACAATAAAAATGATCAGGGGCCTGTAGGCGTGGATTTAAGGCAAATTAACAAATATGTATGGCTTGTTAATCTATTACTAAGGGGAGGGGATGACACTTCAGAAATATTTAATGTATAAACACTGGTGAGGAGAAGAGGAATTACTTGGGTGGTACAAGGACATATAACTTTCTGAAAACTTTCCGAAAACTAAACGGAAAACTTCATACAGGAGAATATTATGCTGTGTAACACTCACAAGGAAGTGTTGGAAGTCCCATCACATGTGACTATTGATACCTGACTGAATCTCCTTCCTTAGAGGTTTTTAAGGTCAGGCTTGACAAAGCCCTGGCTGGGATGATTTAACTGGGAATTGGTCCTGCTTCGAGCAGGGGGTTGGACTAGATGACCTTCAGGGGTCCCTTCCAACCCTGATATTCTATGATTCTATGACCCAAACACTAACAAATGTACAATAAGGAATAATTACGCTTATGGTGAACTAGATAAACTAATAACATCCCTTCCGTTTCCAGTTTCTATTCCTGTAATAATAAAATAATAAAAATAAATTTAGTATGCCTAAAAGGCTTTAATGCTTGGGAGTTTAAAAGTAACTTTTTAAGCAAGGAACCAAAAGTGGCATTTAGTTTAGTGAATATTTTTTGAAGTGGATATCCAGTAGACTTTTTCCTGACTCTATGAAATACTTAGTTTTGATCATGGGGAATAAATTTGCTACAGGAAATATTACAATAAGGCTGTATGTAAGCATGTATATACATAAAATATCACATCTCTGTTAAAAGAAATGTCCCTCCATTTCCTATTAGAGGCCGCATTCTTTACAGCAGTAACCGTAACTGAGCTGCTAATCTGACGGATGTCAGTTTTGTCCCATGGTGGATAGCTAATAAGCAGAATTAAATTTTGAAACTGGAGTGGGTTTGAGAGGGAAGGACATATTAGCAAAGTGAGAAAGATTAGGTTTGGTATTTAAACTAAAACAAAATTACCTGGGCTAGGTAACTTTATAAATCGTTCATTTAAGAGTGAGTCTGTTTGCCACAATTATAGACTTCAATTCAACAAGCCATTTCAGCATGCTTTAACTTTAAGCGTAGTACTTCCTGTTTTTAATAAAACCTTCTTGCAGCAAACTTACCTACAAATGGATTATAGGTAAAAGTTACCTACTGCAGTACAATGCATGTAACTTTTAACCTAGTATGCTGACTAAGGATTGCCATTTCCTCTGCCTTTGCTCCATGGGGGAAGTTACGCTTACATCAGAAAATAAAACATGCATGTAACCACACAAGATAACGGTCTATAGATATGCATGTAAGAATTATTTTATGTACATGAGAAGAACGGATTGGCATTCTGACTGTAAATAGAAATAATTTTATTGTAAATAAATGTTAAATATAAAATGTATCTAAACACTTCAACAGGTTCACATTGTTCTAGTATCTGTAAGAACATTTTCATTTCTTACTCTTCTAACTTGTGAAGAAGGCCCAATGGTTGAAATACCTTAGCTAACTTAATTTTAATGATAGACCTTTTGTTCAGGGTCTATTTATGATAGATAGGAAAACTTACATAGCAAAACTGTCAATAATGTTAAGACAGCTGGTGATGATGTTTTTGGGTCCTTTAGTCTATCAAGATAGCTTGCCACTCAGAGCCAGCTGCACAAATTTGTTAGAAACTGGTAGCAATTTTCAACTACCTTTTCTCTCACTTCTCCAGCTTCCATCTTGTTCCTTTTTCCATGTTGGTGATTTAGGTAGATGCCCCAAAATCTGTGTCAATAAGCATCTAACAAGGAAAGGGGAGTCGGGGACAGAAATGAAAACTGGGGAATCTTTTGAAGGAGGCATGGGGGATTTAATTATAATTCTATGGTACTTCTTGGGGAAAAGTAGGGCAGTCCAGGCCAAATTCCAGCTTGGGTACTTAAGGGAGAATTTAAGTTTTCCACTTGTACTTTCAATGAAATATGGTGCTTATTTCTGGCCTTAATTTTTTTTCCCCCATCCCTCTTGGTCAGATCACTTGCAGCCTCTGTTCTGTAACCTCTCCT